ATACACAGTGTTCCACCAACCCTAAGAAGGTGAGATATCAAGATGGAGTTGCTTGGCAACATTTTCTCAGAGCAGAATAATAACTACATTTTTTGTCAGGTGGAAATTAAACACGAAAATATGTACCTTAAAAAGTTTGCACATTTTCTTAACATACAAACTATCTAGTAAGACAGATCAAATAATAAACCTCATATACTTATGCATTTAAATATAGAACTCCAGATAAAAACACTGTTTTTAGGCTGGAGCAGGGATGGGAAATAATCTCTAGTAAGATTTTTCATCACCATCAGAACATTTTCCCACCACTCTTTACCACTCATAAAAAAGTCATAGGCCTTGTCTGCATTCTGTTTAGGGTAGGGATGTCCCGATACAGGGCATTTTTGACAAGTACATGTACTTGCCAAAATGCCCCGATGCCTAGTGCCGAAGCTTACGCTATGTTTTTTTTTTCTTACCTTGCCAAGCGTCCCGTCACTGCTGCTCCGGTGGGTGGAGCTCCAGGTGGGGTCCTAATTTAGGTGGCCGGAGTCTGCCAGATGACCATGAGGCAACAGGGATCAGAGTGAAACTGTGAGTGAGAGAAGCTGGGACGGGGCTGGCTGTAAATCTATTTCTATCCTAGTGTACTGGACGTGTGTAATGTATATGTAGTACATATATACAGCACATACCTCCACTACACTCCAGCAATAGAATTACATTTCTCCGCTGCTAACATGAATAGGTTAAATCATGATCCATAGTACATAGCATGTAGTTGTACTATGGATCATTTAAAGTCACCTGTTCTTTAAGGAAAAGTATCGGTAATTGGTATCGGCAAGTACATGAGGGGAAGTACTTGTACTTGGGCCTGAAAAAGTGGCATCGGGACATCCCTAGTTTAGGGTATAGAAGCAAGAGGGTCTGCATGACAGTAGGGCAATTAACATTTGCAGTAGTCAGCAAACAAAGTCTCCAGGTTTCTCTCTGGAAAGGTTTCCTTTGCAGAAATAAACTATCTATATCTGATAAATTATATCAGTGATGTTTTCAATAGTGCTGCCAATGCCACCTATACTTATGATGACTTGCAGCTCATGAGCAAACAATGGAGGTAAACCTCAGGAGGCAATTGAAAAAGATTAACGTTTTTTTCAACTAGACTCAAATTCTGATAACTAGCTTCGTACATGCTGTCAAGTAGTCTTTTACAGTCTGAACAAACAATTCAACACATTTCTGATTCTTTCATAAATAGCAAGACAAGATTACACATGACTAAAGCTTTTATGCACTGCTTTTACTTGGGTGAGGTGTATTTCAGTTAATCTATACATACTTCATAGTAACTGGTAATAAAAACAATTACTCATTAAGTAATGAATTAAAAGTTCTGCCTATTTCAAAAACATGCTGGGTAAACAAGAATTCTTGTGAATCTGACACCAGGTTTTGTATATAAAAATACTAAAAGAAAACAAGGCCTGTTCATTTTTAAGGATAGTTTCCAAGAAGAGATTCTCTATTTGATTGAGTTATTTCCAACTGAAAAAGTTCATACTTCATACCATCTCCTATCAAACATCACTGGATCTCCTGTTGTATTATTGTTTGTAGCGCAGCAATAAACATTCAGTTGACTCTATAGGGAATTACTACATTTTCAGGTTGTGCCGCAACATTACACTTCACTAACAGGCAAGACAGCAAATTAAATTGGTCATTTTAGTACTCCTTATGTAGCTACATAAAAAGAATCCTAAAAAGAGACATGGGATTTTTAGTTTACCAGGAAAGCCTTTTCAAAAGGAGTCCATCAAGACAGTTAAATGGGAACTGCAACTGCTGACTTGTTTTGTAATGTAAAAGCGGAGGGGCTGCAATTCAGAAATCTTTGTTATAATATTTAGGGAGTCACTGACCTGGAACATGATACATATCAAATTCAAAGCTAATAAGAGGAGTCCAACTCCGACAAGTGATAAAAGTGAAACCTGTATCAAGGTGTTTACTTATATTATGAACACCGATTATTATAGACATAGCTGTTACTTATTGGGGATAGTCGGTAGAAGCATGGAATAGCATATTGATCATTAACTTCATATGCGACTACCTTGATCTACTGAGGTTACTCAAGACACTTCAGAAAATAACTGACAGTCTAATTACAACAGCTACGATGACTTGAATAACACTCATTTTGATATTTGAATGAATATTCAGGTCAGACGGGTCTTTTGCCTTGCATACTATTGGAGTGTCTCTCCCACAAAATTAAGTCATCTATTACAGATCAGAGCTCTTCCATCCCATCATCCCTTTATCTTGTCTGAGTCACTGCATATTAGTACAGCTGAAAGAACGAAAGGCAAAATAACCATAACTTAACAGCCAACAATGGCAAAAATACAACCGTAAAACATTAGAGCATCAGCAGCAAAATTTGAATGCTCTAATGGCACCATTAATGCCTAATCTGTTTTCAGTAGTTTTCATCTCTTACAGGTTGTCTAAAAGTATCCAACACTTTTAATATACAATAGCACACACATAGCTACTTAGGCATCTGCTCAACATTTGCATGAATTTATTTACATACAAAATAAACCCTGCGCTTATCTGACTGTCAAGCAGTGTATACAGCTGTGTGAAACATAAAGGTACTTCAAACAGAAGCACAATAAATGTGGAATAAATCCTACGTTTTACATATACAGATCACCATAAATAGCTAGGTTGTGTATGTCATATAGACAAAGCATAAATCAAAGCTGTGCGTTAGCTGCAGGAAGCACCTTCCGCATGACATGGAAACAATACATGTCAGATATGCATTGCATGGTGGACAAATGATCGATCTACTTTATTTCTGCACAATATACCCACACAGTAAATTCTGAAATATAGCTTTTGTTTAGTTAAGACTTTTAGTCAGACAACGTAAGTGCTGATTTAAATGTCTAGGATGACCAGAACTGTGATTATTACAGAAAGCCATTCTGCACAGTAAATAATCACCAGACCAAAAAATACCATATGAAAATGCTCAGAATGATGCACGTGCGATTGGTGGTCAAAGATAGGTTAGAGTAGGGGTAGCCAGATGTCAGCCGTCCAGCTGTGGTGAAAATACAAATCCTATCATGCATCAGACTCTGGGCTGCCACTCTCGCAATGCTTATGGGACTTCCACAACTGCCACCCCTGAGTTAGAGCATAACACAATCTCAATAGAAACGCAATACTCCCAAGCATAACGGCAAAAAGAGACAACACCTTTGGCTTTACTAAAATTACTATTCCAGGGCTACAGAGAGCCACTAAATAACATTTATGGGCAGTTTATTAGAATATTGTACTAATGGTTCATACTACAAGTAATCCATAAAAATGTGCACTAAACAAATCCAAATTAAGGCATTAATCCACTTGGGAAGTTTTGACCAGATTGGGCCATAGGCTGCAGAGTACTGACTCATGTATGAGATGCAGTCATCAAATTAGCTTGATTTGTGAAAATTTGGTTGTATGGTGACCACATCAGCCTGTTTGATTTGCATGACCACTTCTAATGTCCCATACACTTCTAATGACCACATACAAATGTAATTCCAAAACCAAATACCTGTAGCTAACAGTTAAGGTTAGGCCAATATAATAGAAAGATATCAGAATAAAACATGAAGGCAATTATGCGTGTTACTGCTATGACCAATGCATAAGGTCATTGTTTCCGTTCCCACTAGAGATTTTATCTGTATGGAGTCTAAGAGGGTTATTCACTATTGAGCCAAAGGATCTAGCCGCAGCTTCGGCTGATCCTTTAGCCGCCAGAGCCCTTCGGTTCAGTCGAACTGAAAGGTTGCTCTACGGGCTATTCACAATTATTCGTAAGCAGCCGAAGGCAGCCGAGCCAAGCGCATATGCTTCGGCTCAGCTGAGCCGTAGTGACAGCCGAAGGGTAGAGAAAGGCCGGCCTGAGCCGACCATTCTCCTGGCAAAAGAGAACTGCTGGGCGCTCGGTGGCATTTGGCTATTCACTCACGGCCGTTCGGCCCCTATGAGAATAGGGGCGAACGACCGTGAGAGAACTGCTGGAGCTTCGGCTCAGCCGATCCAGATGTTGGATTGGCTAAGTCGAACGGCTTCTGCACTTTGGCTCAGCCAAACATGCAGAGCAGAGCAGAGCATGTTTGGCTGACCTAAGGCACCTAAAAGGCAGCCGATGTACAGCTGATTTTAGCAGTTGTACGACTGAAATTGGCCGTAATGAGTTGAAGTGAATAGCCGAACGTCGTTCGGATCAATTCACTTTGGCTCAGATATTCACTCGGCTGCCTTTGGCAGCTTAGTAAATAACCCTATATGTTCTGTGTTTTTTGGTGGTTCTCTTTGTGCTTGGATTTCCACAGAAGAACCAAAAACAGTGGCATACATTTTCCCTCAGTGGGTATGACTATAGCGGGGTCACTATAATTGAATGAATCTACAGGATTTGTTGCAGGACATGAATAAAAAAATGCTAAAAATACTTTTTCAACATTAGTATTAATGTCCAATAGTACAGTGCCAGTAAGATACAGAAGCACCAATTATAAACTGACTATTATGTTCATCTCCTGTTCACTTATTGGGGAGTAAAGGGGGGAAAGAATCCAACAAGGCCCCATGACATCTTTAGTTTAAAGGCTAGCCACTAACCTAAAAACCCAACTTTCAGTCTAAACATAGAAATAAGAAAGTAACTGAACTTAAAACATCAGTCTTCATAATGACTACCAACCTGAAGGCTCCGTAATCTGCTAGGAATCAAACTGGACATTTGTGTTTTTAAAATATTAAAAATGCAAAAAAAACTGATAACCGTAACATTAAGCCTTCTCACATGGATTGAAATTGAAGTAGCACATAACATTCCCTTTCTTATAAGAAACATATAAACCCTCTCATAAGCTTTTAGAGAAGAAATGATGAAAAACAAAAAAAAAAAGGAAATTTTAACCTACCCTGATTTCTTAATGTATATCCAGTAGGCTAATCCAGCAACCAGTGCAGCGAGTAGAAGACCAACAACAATTCCCACAATGAGTTTTGCATGGTCATTATTGTCACCTGGGAATGTGGTTTTCAGAAAAAAAAAAAACAAGAAAACATCTTAGTCAATATACATTCAGTTGCAGCTATTATCAGGTTCCATTTTTTGCATGATTTACAAAATTTACCAAGACAAACTCAGAACATTAAACAGTACAACTGCTAACCACTGTTGTGAAATCATTTACTGAAAAACATGAGATATGGGGTGACTTTAAGACAAGCTCTCAATCATCATGTCACTCATGTCATGTTTGCACAGACACACACTAACTGTATATCCTCCAGCACACTATCATCTATTTATTATGCATAGAATTGTATACCGTTGTAGGAAATACCAAACTGCAATGCAAATTCTTTCCACCTTCCCAAACAGAAGATTGCTGACTAGAGAAGATATCTTATCTTGAGGTAGAAGAAAAAGAAGTTAGGAATTAAAGTGCAGCAGAAAGATAGTCCTCTATATGAAACTTTTGCCATGCAAAAGTTTGGGAATATAAAGCAAAGGTATACAAATAGAAAACAGCACAGGCTGTGAAGATAAGTCCTTACTCTACTACTATACTTACCACTTCTATCAACATGATCATCTGGTTCTGGAAAGCTGACTGAAATGAAAAATTGAGAGGTGAAATTAAAAAAAAACTATTCCTGATAACCTAAGAAAGTCACCTTCACCACCATAATGTGCTTTAATCTGTAACAGTAAAATGACATCCCTTAGTGCAAGTAAAATGAGAACATTTTTCACTGATCTAATATGTAACTGACTCAGTAAAGATTCTTTACAGAATCCTCCTCGATGTATAATGACAAGGTTAATACAGACAAAGGAGAACCAGGTAGTATTAATTCCCAGTTCTCAGCTAACACCAAAGAGATGCATTAAATCAGACTGATTAGTCAAGATCCTTATACCTCTAATCATCATGCATTTTCAGAGGCCTACTGGCTCTTTCTGCAGCAATTTAACTCTGATGGAAGCTGCCATACTACATTTTGCTGCTGAAACAGGGACATCCTTCCAATCATACGCACCATGCTACACAACATTTATCAGACTATGGTATAATGGAAAAAAACAGGCTTTTTAAAGGGAATCCCAGCCTATACTGAACTGTTTTTAAACAAGAGAGCCAGGTGAAAAATAGCTAGTTGAACAGGGACTATCTAAATCAGATGAGGTCACTGTTTGGGTATTCAGACAACCGTAGGTGCCTGCTCTCTGAACACAATAGCTGGCAGGAAAGTATCCTCATGCACTACTTTTTTCCCCAACGCACCGCAAGGTATCACAATACCACACGTTGTGCTGTGAAGCGCATTGCGACCGGGAAGTGCACTGGGGTGCCATTCAAATGAGGGGCAATACACTGATCGCACTGTAATGCATGGTAGGTAGCGAAAAACGCACCACGGCAGTGCAAACGGTTCGCAAGTCTATAAGTTGATCAGCTCACTAAAAACAAACTCCCTATTTGGTTGATATGGTATCCAACAACATTTAAGCAATTCAGCAAAGTCTTTGTAGTAGCTAATCTTCCCTGCCTCTGGTGCCTAGTCTGCCAATCTTTACCTTTTATACAATCACAAAAACAAAAAAGTCAAAATGTGACTCGCATAACTTCAATAACAACTCATTACGCATTGAAAATACACTATACTATCACTATGTATTGGGAAACATACTGCAATTTACTTTAATTCTATAAGGAGAAACAAGATGAATTACACACCAGGAACTCAACTGATATTGTGATTCGTAGTCTTAGGACAGACCCTAATTACATTTTGTCAACTCTGTGCCAGAACAACTCCTTCACAGTCAGGATTAGATTTTGTGAAGCTATAAAAGTCACTTACGGCCTCCAAGCTCATTTAGTACTGGTCTATAAGAAAATTGCTGAACGGCAACAAGCCCAGAAGCAGAGAAAATCAGCTAATGACACAAGGGCGCCGTGTGACTTCTGTTAGTAATGCTACTTGCAAACCTGCTAGAGAAACAAAATGTGAGCCACTGAGGGTGGCTCACTTGAGGCTAATGATAGCATGAAAACCTGAATCTTGCAGAAACTGGCACTTTCAGCTTTAATTATTAGGAGGCTCAGAGGGGGGATTGGGTAAATCTATAGGAAAAGTAGAAATCCCCTTTTAAGTACAGCTGGGATAACATTTAAATGATGGAAATAAAACATTTGGTACATAGAAAAATGAATGAGTACACTCATTGGCACAATGACATATGTCAGGGACAAGAATTACATTGCAAAGTCTGACCAGTACTTACTAGCAGAGACATTTAAGGAATGGGACTCTCGCCCCAATTTGTTTTCAGCACTGCAGATAATTGTGACATTCTCTTCTGGGGAAATGATAATTTTAGCAGAATATTTTCCATTACTTAACATAGTCTCTTCAGTCTGTAATAAGAGATATAAAGTAAAGTTAAAGCCAGTTCTTGCTTTCTCTGCAAATGGTCCACAATACATTAAACACAGTGAAAGACAAAGCCCCATAAAAGCTATTGCATGCATGAATCTTGGTCATTCCATCAGTGCAGCAGCTATAACTCGTGTTACAATCACAATGCAGTTTTCAATTCCCAATAAACATAAATGAGGATAAGCCAATTAGAGTAATTTAAGGCCACTGCAGTATTTATATGGGACCTATAAGAAGGCAACTTGAAAGGGGTCACTTGTGACTCCAACCTTTGTTTTACATTACATTTTTTAATGGAGCAGAAAATGTAACTGACATGCAATTAGCCTTAAAATACTACATTCATAACTAAAGTTTACTTCCTTTCCAATGGGTAGTAAAATACTCATACAGTGCACTACAAAGATTTATTAATTTAGCTTTAATTCGGATTTACAACATATAAAAGAGCTTCATGAATGCTACAGGGTTCCAATATGTTTAATAAGAACAAAGATTCTATAAATGTGCAATCATGAAAACAACAGGAAGAAACAAAATTCAGGATTGAAATGTGACAGAAAAATGTCAACACATTTTGCCATATTCACTAAATCATGACCATTTAATCCATTACGACAGAGAGCTGTGACTGGCAGCGCAGCGAAGGGAAGCAGCTTTGGGGATCGGTCACATGAAAAGGAGGCAGCAAGTTGGAGTGAGCAATAAGGCATATGCACTTATACCTAACCAAACCCCAAAAAAAAAAAAACTATCTCTAGGAGTGCCAGGTTATTGATTTTTTTTTATCCAGATATACATAAAAGCCTTTAAGATACAATGTAAAGACAAAAATATGATGTATACTATAACAAGTGAATAACAATATGAATAACTTACTTTGTTCAAGTATAGATCATTTCCTAATCTGACGCACTGCACTTCGGGCTTTGGGAAGCCATCTACCTCATACAGGATTGTTTTTGACCTTCCATCAGCATTTGTCTTTTTTGAGAGTTTGATTCGTGGCTTTCCTTAAAGGGGAAGAATTTAAAATATGTATGAACAGAAAAATACAATTTCTCAAGAAATTAATAACTATACATACAAAATATTGCACATTAATACAAATATAGGTGACCATATTGCAGCTTGAACTTTAATAAGGCGCTGCGTTTTAGCAATGTCCTTTACTAACCTTCTACAGTAAGTCTTAGTGTCTTTTTTCTCCTCAGACCATCAACTTCCATAAGGCTGGTCTCACATTCATAAACCCCTGAATCTCTATATTGTAGATTTGTGAATGATGGCTGTGCAGGGATTTTTTTGTTCTGTAACCAAAAAAAAAAAAAAAGGTTTAGCTTACGGTGTATATAATAAATCACATTCTTAAACAATTCATCCCCACACAGCTACCTCCTCATGTATCACTTGCCCCTCCCTTTTAGATTGAAAGCCCTCAAGGGGAGGGCCCTCCTTACCATCTTGTCTGGAATTGTATTGTGATTGTAATGTCTTCCTTATATTGTAAAGTGCTGCGTAAACTGTTGGTGCTATATAAATCCTGTATAATAATAATATACACACACACACACACACACACACACACACACACACATACATACATATAATGTTAAGCTGACAATACATTATGCAAATTTGCAGAGTGGCATCCTTCGATCAGGAGGAGATCAAAGGAGCTGGACGGAGAGTCTTCGACCGAATGGAGCTTGCAGGTGATCAGCTGCAAGCTTCGCTTAGGCCGGCAGCTACTGTCAGAAAACAATGAAAACATCCGGGAATTTCTCTATCCATGCTCATAGGCGAACAGGTTGAACAAAGAAAATATAACAGTGTATAGCCAGCTATAGGCTCAAAAAATAACAGCAGATAAATAGGCAACAGAAATTATGAATCGACAGACAAAAAACACTTATTAAAGCTATAGATAGCTAAAAGCTTCTGATTTTTTTTAATTAGGAAAATTTAGACCCTTTAAATATTGGAGCAGGGGAAATAAGGGAGACAGAAACTGGAGGTATTGGCTCCTAAACATTTAGATACTATATTGAAATTCTGTAAGGGATTTTCTTTCGTATTCCAGCCACACACTTAATTGGACTCTCCAGAAGTTTAACTGTACTTGATCCATGAAAACACTGGCTCTTGTATAAAAATGCCAGGCTTCATAACACAGACCTCACTGTGGAAAGCAGTCCCAACACACCAGTATCACTGTTCGTACAAAATTGATTTATGTGTGAATTACTGCATGATCCAGGAAATACAGCGGCTCTTCTTATTGAAGTGTAGCAGGGGGTGCAGGAATACAACTTGACACCTTATCATGCAAGACAAGTGAAGGCAAATGCCTTCTTAGTAACAAAACTTAGTACCCATTTAAATCATACCATGAGTTGTTTTCCTATTAGGTTGAAGGGGTTTGAAGTCTAGCCCATGGAGAATAGAGAGAATAAGGCTTCTAAGCTTTTTTACTAAGAAACAATAGTGCACATAATGAAATGTAGCAGTCTAGGTCAAATGGGTCTTGCTTACAGCAGTGCTTCCAAAACTGGCATGTACCACTGGTGGAATTAGCTCTCACTGTAAATGGTTCTCAAGTGTGGAAAAGGTTTATACATACAAAATGCTCATTCTAGTGTCAATTATTTCCAGTGCCAAACGGAAGAATCATGTCAGTCTAATATGCACATTTAAATTGCTTGATGGGCTTAAATTGCTTGATGGGCTTGAACAGACGTTTCGTAGATGATGCCACCCTGATTAAACACTTCAGGATAGCTAGCTCCCATGAACTGCAACTGGCATAATGGTGGCACACAACATTTGGGAAAACCCTGGTTTACAGAAATTAGTTTATCAATCTCACTGTACTCTGGTTTTAAAACTTTTTGGGTGGGATGGGTACAAAACCTTGCTACTTGCATTGTTTTATGTCGGAGGACTGCACACTGCTTACCTTCATCCATGTGACTGAAACATTTTTACTTGCAGAAGGAATGCATGAAACAGAAAGACTGTCTCCAACTTGTATAGTGACATCTCCAGTGGGTGTTAGTGACAAATCCAAATCTGAAACGGGAGGAAAAAAAAAACCCCACCAGAAATGTATTAATAAGCAGATTGGCACGGTTTTAAATAACAGGGTTTTCATTTAATACAACAAATCACAAAGAGTAAAATGATCCAGAAGCAAAGCGAGACAGCAACTTTGGCAGGCAGCATGTTAGAAGACCTACATCAAATAATGTCCATTCAATAAATTGGAAACAAACATGTGTTCTGAAATACTGCTGCTAGAAGAGAGATATTTCATGCGTGCTTGTTATACAGGTATCTAAGAAAAGCACACTGCCATTTTGAGGTGTGTTTCTTCTTGGCCGACTGTCATGTTTATTAACGGAATGTATTTAGAAACAGTCATGGGAGTGGAAATACCCTGCCCTACATTTATATTCTTTGTAATTGATGTGCTTGCCATAAAAGCTAGGTATATAAAAGGACTGTCCGGTCTAATGCTCAGAGTTTCAGGTCACTGCCTTTCTTTGTGCCAATCACAAAGACAGACTACATTTTATATTGTGTACATATTCTAGTTGTCAAAGCTTTCTCATCCCTTCCTTGAACCTCTTCTTTTGAATGACTAGCAAATATGGAGTCTGTCTTGTTTCAGTTATTTAACCTAGATAATTAAGGCTATTTATATTTTGCTAAATTACAATAATGATGATTAAGTTAAGTTGCAAATGATACTGCAAAACATGCAATGTTCACCAATGGGCTTAGGTAATACTGAAGAGTGCAGTATTCCAAAACAACCAGCCTTTTTGTAAAAACTAATTAAAATATCAAACCCTGCGGAGACTGGAAATCAAAATATCAATTTGATAACTGTATAAAACAGTTCAGAGTGATTATATGTTCTCTTTTTTAAGTATGCAATAAACAGAACATCTAAGCTGTGCAAGTATTTCCCAACTGCTACAAGCAGTATAACACCATCAGTACACAATGACTTATATTCCAGATTAGACACTACAAGATGTCTAACAGATAGGGAATAACTTGGTGATACAAGCTAAAGATAGCATCAGTTACGGAGCATTAAATAATCTTTAATGTTCTGAAAGAGCGAAGCCTCAAGAGTCTAGACATTCAGCCCTGTTTTATTTTTTTCAAATTTTGAAAGAGAATTTACGTAAGTAATGTACTTATTCCAAGCACAAATACAGAACCTGCTATCTTTGCATTTTAGCAGCTGATTAAAGGGATTATCATCCATATTTGTGCAGTTCGTTTGCTAACCAAGAAGCACCCCATACCTAATGTCAAGCATGTTAATTTCGTCACTTCTCAAACAGATTTCAGGATTTAGCAGAACTGATTCAAACAATGTTTTTGTTCTTTCAAAATCTATGTAGCATTGAAAGTCTCCACAGAAGATGCATCACGTTGTCTGTTCCAGCACTGCATCTAATCATGGATCAGCATTTTACAGCCTTTGTGATTAATACTAAATGTTGTGAACTAATATAACTTCATATTGGAAGTCCTATGCACACATTTGTAAAGCCTGGATGAGATCCCCTTACTGTCTAGATGCATCTTTTCTCCATTTTCCCAGCAGAGGATGTTTGATTGGGAATAGAGTTAGTAAGAGTTCCTACAGATCAGACTCCATTGGTTGCTCCATGAACATGTATGCATGTAGCCAAGCACACACATTTATGTCAATTAAGATGAAAGCAGCGAAGGGAAGACATCTTCAACTAATTACCCTGGACAATGAACGGTCTGCCAGTACCGTAGACATGTATGGTTGACTCATCAGGACACTTCAGCCTGTGCAAACAGTGTTCAAACGTTTTCAACCCCATTGCATGAAGATCAAAAGTTCCAGATACATTGGTCAATATATATATATATATATATATTTTTTTTTTAGGAAATGGGAGTTTTGAGGGGAAAACCTTGTTTATGCACTGCTTTCCCACTGATAAGTGGATGCTGTATGTGTTCTGTAGCATGCATTGTGTCATCTCTCCATAGGCCTCAGATAGTTGTTAAAGGAAACAATCCTCTTTTAAAGACCTCTCCACAAATCGATGCCAGATACCTTCTATTGTCTATTGACTGTTTAAGTGCTTTGATGGCAGTGGAGAGAAGAGGAGGCAATGTGCGAACATGTATCTGCATTGTCTGTTACTTGGCTTTAAGGACCAATTTCAGATTTAAATTCATATTAATGAATGTTGCATGGGCTCACTATGGGTGCTATGCATTAATCTGAAAAAGCATGCATGTGTGTGAGTAGCTGCAAATTAGGAGTGCAAAATGTTGTTTTATTTACACATACCGCACATAGACTAAAAGATAACAAAAAGTCAAATTGTACAGAAGAGATCTTCATGTGGTTTTGATTAAGTATGCGTAACAAATCAAAACCAAGCACTGGCATTGAATTTACTCGAAAAAATGTTGACATAATTCACAATCCATTTTCTTTAGGATGATGTACTGTATGAAAAAAATCCAGAGCAACATAGGGCCTTATAGGGGAATCCAAAACATCCTGAACATTGGATTTGAATGTTAAATGAAAGCAATACATTTCTAGGCTATCCCTTTTCTTACACGCACGTTGGCAAGCTCTTGTGTACGAGACCCTTAAACGTGCTGTGAGTTTAGCACACCTCAAAAATAATAAATACTGATCAATATACAGAGAACAAAAAACATTACAAATACATAAAACACATTCTATGTTCATATATTGCATTTACATTTTTTTTAAAAATTACTTTAATACCGGTTTCCTATAAGCTTTATGTGAATTTTAAAAATACAAACAAACATTTTATGCAATCTAACTACAAACAAATACTGTTCACCCTGTAAAATCACTCAGGCTCCAATGAAGGCTCACCTAACTGATGATTATATTGGGCAGGTTTGGTCGGAAACCAGTAGGGATATCAGACCTGAGTTCACTTGCCATCCCTTACAATAAAATGACTGATTTGATGTATTCCACCATTCCTCACCATTACAATTTTAGGAGCTCTAGTGGTTTAATTTCTATACTTGTGTTCATGGGTCTGTATGCCACAGACTTTGAGGATGTCCCACTCTGCTAGATTGTGAATCAACTATTATGTAGAAGACAAAAGTGGAAAAATCTACGACATTAAGTGGGGAATAGGGACAGGTAGCCCCCAAGAAATTGAAGCATTTGGCTCATATGATGTCAGAATGGGCTGACTCTTAAAATAAATGTGATATAAATAAAGTGTGGTACCATGGTTCTTATAAATCAATGCAATGAACAAAACATCTTGCATTAAGTTTAACATAAATGAACTGAAACTAACTGTAAGAAAAATTGTAATATTACATAAATATTCAAATCCATAGCTTGCCCACAACTGAACACCACAAAGTAAAAAAAGATATATTTCACAATAAAACAAAACCAATGAAAAAATGTAAAATTTGGTGATTCCAAACAAAGATAACATTATCATTAATAAAGATATATATATTTAAAGGAGAACTATGGGGTCAGTGTTTTTCCCCATAGTTCTCCTTAGGATAACGGGAAGACACAAACTAGCATCCTCCCGTTACCCTAAGCTCAGTATACCGCGAGCTACAGCTCGCGGTATACTGAGACGCCGGAGCGGATCCCGACTTAGATGACGGGATCCGCCCAGCTGCGTGAGTGACAGCTGGCTCTGCCTATCTAGAGGCAGAGCCCGCTGTATCCGCCCCCTCCCCCGTCCATTCCGCCAGTCAGCGCTGGCAGATAGGAGCGGGGAGAGGGAAATCCAGCCCCTCCCCCTGTCACGGCACAGAGCCGTGACATGATCGAGAGGCGAGCGAACCCGGTATGTGTTCGCTCACCTCCCGATCTACTGAGCCGACATGTGACAGTCTCATTGTCACAGGTCGGCTAGAACTATGAGGTGAGTGAAAAGCACTCGCCTCATAGTTCTCCTTTAACATACATAGCAAAATACAGCCCTAAGACTTTTTTTTCATTGCTGATAAAGTCATGCCATCTTCATGGAAATGCATATAATGATAAAACTAAAAATCCACATTTGCCCCTTGAAAACATGAAACTAACCGCAATATTTATTTGTTTTAGAAATAATTCAAAAAAGAACTGCAGTCAAATAAACCCATGCATTGCAATTATCTATTAAAAGCCAAACAGCTAAACTAGAAGCAAATGGCAGAATCAATTTAAGGTTTGAATTAGGCAGACTGTTACTTACAATGTACGGTTACCATTGTTGAAGCAATCATTATTTTATTTAGCAAAGAACATTTATAATCTCCAGTTGCATTTCTTTTTATGTCAGTTATATGGTAGGCACTTGAACTACGTATCCCCTCTTCCTGACCCTAGGGAAACAAAAAGAAACAAAAAAATAAATCACACAGTCATTACATGTAACCTATTTAAAACAGTAAAAGATAAATACAAATCAAGAAAATAATTAGTCTAATGGGAAACAAAATAATTTAAAGTGGGCGTAAACTTAAAATCATGAAGATTTGTTATCTTTAGGAGAACATCGAGTTCTAGTGGAAATTGTGACAGCTCCCTGACAAATCTACATTTTGCCTTAAATTTCTCCTGAAAATAGCAATGCAATACCTGTACCTTTAGTTTCTGTAGTGTGAGATCTTGTAAGGAACTGCTGCTAATTTCTCAAGATTCTTGTGATGTCATTACATTACTGTTCATCGTTCCTCTTAAGAGAAAACTACAGTGCAAGGATTTCCTTACTTCTGCTTTTAATTTTTTTAGGTCTGTGATTTCTGCACCTCAGAAAGGTGGCAGCACAAACATGAGGATGCAAAGCCCTGCCTCTACCAAGATGGACACAAACACTGAGAAACAGAGCAGAAAAAGTCATGGATATTTAGTAAATAGGAAAAGATCAGGTGCAGGGGGACCCCAGGCAATACTGCTGACTAGTACTTTATCTTCTGCTGGTCCTTTTTTGTTCATTGCTTTCATTGGTCAAACCATGTTTAATATATTATATTAGATGCACATAAAAGATCAGCTTAGTGTAAACCTCATAATTATGTGTTAGTGTTTTAAAAACCTATCCTCTCTGTACAGTTTGTAATTATATATACACATAGGGACAACCTTATTCGATGACCTAGGTAGGCCCTGCTTTATGTTCAGTAAATATCCACAGTGGCTGTACCTTGCTGATCATCTTGTATAATTAGTATTAAAAACAAGTATATCTCAAAGTCTCTAACTGAAAAACAGAGTTCCCATTGTTTCTTATTATGTGAAAATACAATGCCCCTCATAATCAGAGGCTTCTATGTAATATTGTAAATGTAATTATTGCGTAGATTAGAGAGCCATGGGGTAGTATTGTTTTTATAATTCATGGCAAGAAAGAGGTAATTTTTCCTTATTAATGTCATAATCCCGAAATATGCTCCGCCATGTGACAAAGTTGCTATAATGGTTTAATGTGGAACTTCAACATTTTTCTCCTTTGAAAAGATTTTGCCCTATTTTCTCTTTTTGTAACTGGTGCCACCATGACAGGAGATAACCTCAATGGGAAGGGGGACATATAAATCCATAATGAGTCATAAAAATCAGGTAGAGGTTCAAACCAACTTCCGCTTTATGACAAAACATTTTGTTTGCAGTCCCTTTTTTTGCTTTGCACATTTGGTATTAGGAATCAGGCTTCATGCTCACAACTTTGAAAATCTTTTATTTTTATATAAGGTCCATCAAGTGGATGCATTGTAACGATGCATTTTCTAACAGTCTGTTGTTTATATTATCTCACATATGATTCCCATACTGTCTGAAGAGGCATACATAGTTCTGTGAAAGGTGTAACAAAGTGCCCCATCTCACCAAACAATCTATATGGCACCAGCACATGCACAGTTTAACAACTGCATCACATTTGCCTACATATCTTTGATCTAAATCTATAGTACAAAGAATATAGCTGGAACTTATAGCAATGGAAATGGTTCCCAGAAGGAATTAATGAGCACATCAAACTTACAGTGCAATATAACATGAATGCATGTTATAAGATACTATCCTGTGCTTGGTGATTTGATTGCTAAAATTATTGAAACTATATTTAATACTTTCTACATGGCTTTGAAGAGGATTACAGGACCTGCAGAGATAAATATCTGTTACCTTTACCACACAAAGAGCTCAAAGACATGATGCATGATGTGCACAGTCCCCGCCCCTTCACTGAATTAGCCATTACCTCTTCTGCAAGGCTTTATTCCTAAAATGAGGACAATCATTTCCTATCTCTGGCATGAAGAGATTTTCTTTTTCACTGAAATCATATAGCATCTACCACTTAGCATAATTTTTTTTCCTTACAATACCCATAGGCTCACCTCATTCCCATTTTTTCCCCCAATACTTTTATACTGTTCAATGAATGGAGCACACACACAACTATTGTAAAAATGTAAGACAATACCTCATTTCCATATACCTCATAACATTGTCTCAAGATTATTGCATATACAATGGGGGTGCAGAGGCAAGGTTTAAAATTACTTTACAAACAGGCTCACATAGCTTTCACCCAAACATTATGGGCTGTTATCTTTTCTGCCAAATGGTATGTATGGAATGCTAACACATTTTGTAAACAGATTATGTGAACAGAAGTCATACCGCCCACTTTTAGGTCTAAATAACAATGACAAGCAGATAAAGAAAGAGGACAACTTACTGGAAGGTAGAACAAAAATTCCTCTGGAGGTGGATTTCCATTCCCTATGCATTTTAGTGTGATGTTATCTCCCTCTTTTATTGTTTTTTTGGTGGACTGTACATGAATTGTCACCTTCTCTGTAGGGTCTGAGAAAAGAATTGACTTGTTAAAACAAATTTATCAAGCACACAATTACCCTGCACATAATACGCAATTTAAATGATTGAATTATACACAGTTATACATTAAGCAGGGGAAGGTAATTGCTTTAATGCATCTTTTATACATGGATTGAAGTTAATGGGTACCTTCCACAAAGAGAACAATCCCTAATTAAAGGGTGGCAAGCAAACACCCCTGTGATAAAAAAAATACACATCACAGAACATTTTCAGAAATGAAGTTGGACTCATTATGGTTTTTCTGTGCAAACAGCATGAACACTGTGTACTAGCTGTCTTAATGTAAAAGATTTTACTACATTGTGTGAAAAATACTACTTTATTATATTGAGCTTAACTACAGCTTACATAAACACCAAATAAGAAAACATCTACCAGCTTGTCTATCCACTTATCACTACCTTATAGGATCTTAAAACCTTGACCAAATTAGCTAGCTTAGAATGAGACCGTTTGTAATGGCCATGAAAAAAAAAAAAAAAAGTACAAAAACTTTTATTTCAGAGTCTGTTATCAATATAGGAAGCCAGTGGTTGAGTCAACCTGCATTGACCATAAACAGAAAATATCTGCAAAGCATTCAGTATTATATTTGCCAGAATTGTGGATAGATGAGTATATATAGGATAACTATACAAGAATAAAGTTATTCTTTCACTGTATTGTGGGCACTGGTTCAAGAGCCAACCATTGCAAGGCAATGTATCGTAAATGCAGAAACTAAATATAATTCTAATTTCACAGAACAAATAATACGTGAAAACTCTTCATCTTGGTTAATAACCAAAAGGAGGTTTAGAACACTTTATACTTTACAGATTTATGATACAAGTCAAATCCAAATAAATAGCAATATTACATAAGAAATGAAAATAAGCCGGCAGAATAAACTTACAGTAAATATCGAATACGGCTGGATCAGAATCCATTGTTGCCAGTCCATCTGGCATGTAATAAGTCACTGCACATGAAAACTGTGCCTCTATATCCTCTTTTGTTGACATGTACTGCAATGTTGAACGCATGCTAAGAAGACCGCTTGTTGGGTTTTTTTCTTTCCACCAGTCCACATTCACAACTATAATAAAGAACACAGACAAACACTGACCAATGCGAAATATTTATTTATTTTTCATTTTGGGATGTGGTTCTAAAGCAGGATGAACATTTTTTTCCTTAAGCTA